AATTATCTGAGCTTTCAAGTCCTTGTCTACACAAGGACTGATTCATTGCACAAGTTTTCCTGCAAATGAACAAGGTCTGCTTCAGTTAAAACAGAATTTCATCTCCATCTCTCTGATAACTTCAGCTGTTCGTAGATCCTTGACTGATGTCATTATAGGGTCTGCAAAAACACTGCAGACTTCGAGGGTCCATTTTCTATAGGCAACTAAACTGGGGGTGAGAGCATAAGATACCCCAAAAAGGTCTTGATGAGCTCACCATTTCCTTCCTTCACACTTCTGGATTTTCAGCTTGATGAGAGCTTTATACTGACAACACAGAAACTTGAGGAGTGGGCAAACATTTACTTTCAGTGTATCCCCTTAATGGCAGTACAGAATCCTTAGTCAATAAATTATCTTAATTAGTCTGACTATTTATAATAAAAATGTACAAAGAAGAAGGCAAACTACAAAAGTGCAGAAAATTGTCATATTCAAATGAGTGAAATTAATTCAGTAATATGTAAAGAGAATTTTTGAACTGCTCTGTAGAACCTTCAGGCATTGTTGAAATGTCTGAACTAATTTTAGATTATGTACAAAATCAGCTGTATGAATACATATAGTGTCCTGCACAGGGTAGGTCTGTGTGATTTTTCTTTTTCCCCCACTTGAATACTGCACCATGAATAGGCTAGTGCTGTGTCAAACACTGTGCAATAATCTGCTATGTTAATCTTTAAAGGGATCATTAATTACCTTGGGAAATGGCTTTCTTTCATTACAAGAAATTACAAGAATTCTGGGTGAATGAGATGAGGTAGCTTATTTACATATTCTGAGGCTAGTCATATGATTTTTATTGAGCCTATTATACCAAAGATTGCCAAGTGTACAGTCAATTTGTATAGCATTGCAGTTACCAAAAATGTGTCTGTCAATGAAAATAAATTTGTAGTTGTGGTAGTAATTTTCTGAGTGGTAGGCTTTTTCCTAAATTTATCGTAGGAAAGATTAAACAATCGTTATTTGAGCTTTCAAGTACCAGTGATTTATTTCATTTCACACTGACAAAACTGTGTCTAAGTTTTTGTATTATAAATAGTGGTAGATATGGTAACACAGGCTTTAATTCTGAGAATGTACAGGCCTTAGGTACATGATGTCCCACTGGTATCCCAAGTTTCTCTTATAACCCATGAAGAACTATACTTCTTAATTTGAATACAGAAAGCAGTTTTTAAAAGATTAATTATATTACTGATGTAAATACTGACTAGACAACTAATGTGGTGTGACTGCTGCTCATTATATCAAATTCAATCATTTCATTGCTGCCTTGTCCTCCTCCTCATTTGTTTCATCTCCATCTGCTCACTCTCTCATATTACTTGCACTGCATCATATGAGGTACCCAAGCTTACTGGGGCAAAATCTTGTCTTCTATGAAAAATATGGTCCAGTTCTACATAATACTGCAATATAAATACAACAGTAATGCTTATGCTGCTACTAATTTTACCATTTTTCTTCCTGTTTGAGTCTTGGAAAATATAATTCCTATTTTGGAGCTAGTTTAGCTATGTGTCAGTGAAAGTTAAGAGTAGAATTGATGACATCTCACTACAACTCCTTAAAAGAAGGGTGCTAGTCTAAGCTAGTCATCAAAGCTTGTGTCATTACTCTTACAAGTGTTATCATAAGAGGCTGGTATTTTTTAGGATGTAATGAATGACATTTTCAGAAAATGATTCATCCTGCCCTAATGTAGTAGAGCTTAGTCACCTAATGGAGTTGTCTCTGTAAACTGCATACTAAGACCATAGGAAAAACTTACATTTGGTGCCTAACTTGTTTGAATCACACTGCAAGTATTCTGTGTGAGCCCCCATTTCTGATGCTGTGTTGATGCTGCTCCAGCTGCTAGGAAATTATTTTTATCTTGCATTATTATAGTCCTACAAGCACACATTTTAGCAGCAAATGTCCTGGGTTTTAGGATTTACACCACAGCATATCATTAAACAATTCACTTTATCAATTAAAATGTCCTTTTAGTTGTCTCTTAAAAATATCTGTAGAGATTATAGTTCATTCTGTCTTTTCCCTACTGCTGTGCCATCAACACAGATGCAATATTTGTCTCAGAAAGGGCTGGGTTAGTGTATTAGTGTAGCAGTGTGGAGATCTAACAGTGAAACAGTCATGGGGCTTCAAGCGTCTGACACTCTGATAAAGCATGAAAGAGGTTAACAGGAAAGATAAAAATAGTGGGATGATTTGATATTAATTCTTATTTTCCTTCCTATTGAGAAGGCTTTGTTATGTTGGCTCTGTTTCTTTACTGCCATTTGCCAGAGCAATGTTTTATAACTAGAAAATACAATAAGCAGTGGTGATGTAAGCAAATGAAAGGTTAGTGAATTTGGTTTGGCATTGGAAATACCTCTTTGTAATAAAGGTCATGATTTCAAAATATTGCAAACAAGTGTGTCTAAGGTTTCTCTTTGTCTGCCCTGCTCCACATTGTGTCTCCTCAGCTGAAAATTTACTTAAAATTAGGTAGCAAATGAAAAGAACAAGATAAACCTATGAGGAACATCAGGGGAACTCTTACTCTGAGGTCAGTGGCAATATTCCCAAGGAAGTTAATTTCAAAACAAGTCTGTCAGTTATCTGAGTTTCAGCTGACAATTTAATATATGAATAGCCTTCTGGAACAAAAAATGTGGGTTCTGGGCTTTTCTCTGCCATTCTTCTCTCGTGCATGTCACTGTGGTTGCAGAATACATTTAACTGGTTGCATTAGTCACTGGGGATTGTGTTCCTATGCTTCTATATGTTTGGTTTAATATATGTTTGCATATTCAACTGTGCAGGCAATAAACATGTTCATTATAATAAAAAGCTATCTCTGCTTTTACTTGGTCAGCTAACTGTGGAACATTGGTACATCTATAAACAGAAGTTGGTTTGTGATAGCAAAATGCAGGACTATTTTACCAGCTGGTTTCTGGAAAAAGATTGATTTTCCTCCATGCAAATATTTGAAAGATATATGCCACCAGCATTTCTATGGGGCATGCACTCAAACAGAACTGAAGAGCTGAGTCTTGTGCTCATTGCAGTCCAGCTGTTGACTTTTGTCTTGGGATCAGGCCATACATCCTAACAATGAGGGTGTCTGTATGCAATTTCTGGGATTACGATTTTTATGTGTATGGTAATGTATATTAGACTGTGCTAAAGAAATGGGAAAAATAGAATTTGTGCTAGGCAGAATTCACCACAAGATGTCTCATGTCTCACTACAGATTTTTCACAAAGGTAGGGAGCTATCCAGCTAAGTCTGGTGAGTGCAGTGCGAATTACATGATTTAGATTCTTCTGGAGAGTGTGTTAAAAGCACATAAAAATAGACTGGATGTGGAATCCAGACATGACGAGTGTGTTCTTCAAGGGCTGATTAAAAATAAATGCATGGAGACTAACATCACTGAATATTAAAAAACTCTCAAGAAAGGGAGGAAAATGACCAGTTAAAGCCAAAGTACAGCACTAGAAGAATGATTACTCATTATAAAACAGGGTGATCTAATCTCATTTGTTATTTCTTACCACCTTTACTATGTAAGATAAGTGTCCACTAAGAGTATTTTCCACCCTTGTAACATTTGGGGTGGGGTGTGTACCTTTAAGTAACTGTTTTATCTGTTGGCTCTGGGGATCCAGACTGGAGCCCACACATGCGTGAATCTGTACAAGCCTTGGGCACAGTTGTCTATTCTTATGTGTATTGCTGTATATGTATTTTTAAATAGAACTCTTTTGTGTTCCTATGTGTATGACTTCTCTCAGCACTGGTGCAGACTCTATTCTTATTCTAGGATGTTACTTGAGTGAGGATAGATTCAAGGCCAGCCAACAATTTTCTTTATAGCTGTTAAATAAAAACTTTAAGTGTTAATTGTTTTCATAGCTATCTATATACCAAAGACTCTGTACTTCAATTCCCAGTTTTGGAAGGATTGGGGGTCAGGGTGGGTAGTTGTGGGACTGTAGGGAACTTCTACTGCGGCCAGGAATGAGCGAGAGCACAAGCTGATTGTATAAGTCAAATGTATTTCACATATCTGATCACCCAAACAAGCAGATATGCTCAGGATAAATGCTATATATTTACAAGTTTTTAAATATAAATAAACACACTAAACTTATTGGGTTGGGGGTATGTTAAGGAATCTAATTTTAAACTCCATGATGGCCTCTTTTGTTAACACACAACTACAATGTATCTCCAAAACTGCTGCCATAAAAGCCCATAGAGCAAAAAATGAAGAATTATTTTCTTGTAAAATCACAGTATCACACAGGAATACTTGGAGGTGTTTAAGGAAAGACTGGATGTGGGAGTTAGTGCCACGGTCCAGTTGACGAGGTGCTGTTAGACCATAGGTTGGATTCAATGATCTCAGACGTCCTTTCCAACCTAACTGATGCTGTGCTTCTGTGATTCCATGTTGAGATCCTTCCCACCCAGGCCAATAGTGGCGATCAGCGTTCCTGCCCGGGCCCGTCCGAGCTGCGGCTCTTGGCAGTGTCGGGGCCGCTTCCCGCCGGCTCCGGGACGGGACGGGACGGGGCGCACCTGCGGGAGCTGCCCTGTGCACGCCCGTCCTACAGGTGTGTGTGTCGGTGCACAGAGGGACCCACGGTGGCCCCGGGGAGGAAAAGCGGAGGGTTCCCTTACTAATCACGGCCGCGGAGCTGTGCCGTGGGAGCCGTGCGGGGGCCGAGCAATTCCCTTCGCAGCCCGGTCCGGCGCGGCCGCTGCTCCCGGGGCGGGGCGGGGCGGGGCCGCCCCTGCCGCCGCCGCGCGCCGCTGAGCCGCCCCCGCCCGCGGTGGATGCCGCCGGGGAGCGGGCGGAGCGCGCCGCCGGGGAGAGGGGCTGCCGCGGCCGCCGGAGCCCACGTACATGCGAGTGCCCTCTCCGCTCACCAGCATGCTTTACTTCCAGATGGTGATCATGGCAGGGACCGTGATGCTGGCTTATTACTTCGAGTACACGGACACCTTCACCGTCAACGTGCAAGGCTTCTTCTGCTACGAGGGCGCGTACCGAAAGCCCTACCCGGGCCCGGAGGACCGCAGCGCCGTGCCGCCGGTGCTGCTCTACTCGCTGACCGCAGGCGTGCCCGTGCTGGTGGTAAGCAGGGGCCGCCCGTGCCCGCGCTCCGGTGACTTGTTGGGCCGGGCCGGACCGGACCGGGCCGCGGGTCCCGGCCGGAGCAGTGCCGCCGGCGGGCGGGGACCCTCCGCGCTCCGGGGCTGCGGCCGGCCCCGGAGCCCCACGGGCAGCGCTGCCGCCCCCGGCCCCTGCCCCACCGTGCCCATCGCGCCTCTCAAGTTTATTTTTAGCACCGGTTTATGTAACTGCCAGTGCCTGTATTTCCAGCCCCGTGCGACTCCTTTTGGTAAAAAATTATCTTTTCTTTTTCGAAACGCGCGTCGCTTGCAGATGGGCAACCTGAGGAAAATCTGGCTTTTAGCAGCCACTTACTGATGTGTCATCCGGTACTAATTAGAAAATCCCTCTGTCAGTTTTGTTTTCTAAAAGTCAGCTGGTACGTGCAAGGAGCAGTTTTACTTGATTTAGTTGTCTCCATATGTCACAGTTACTGATGTGTGTGCAAACGAAACCTGTGTCTCTAATTGAACATGATCTTCCGTCAATCAGTTTTAAACAGGTGTGGCTAAAAAGTGATTTATTTAATCGATTTTCTATCGGGTACTTTTTTTTTGGGAAACGGCTAAGGGAAAGCTTTTTGGAAAAGCAGTGAGATTCCTTTCAAGCTGTTGAAGGTACTCTGTTGTCAGATAACGAGGGCATTAGCATCATTCAGTGATCCCTCACCATACTGAGGAGAAAAGACCTAGAGGAGAGCATTTGACTGTTGGGGATGGATTATATCTAGACTTACCAGGTGCCTGCACAGCTACACATGCACAAAGCCCTTGTAAAGAGTTGATTTTTATCAACTGTAAGCTTTGGAATAATAAAAAATGCAATAAGAAGAGGCCTTTTAAGATAGCAATTTTTTTAATCATAATAACTCTTTTTCAGGAAAATGTAACAAAATAGGAGTCGAAAAAGCCTCATGAGGCTAAGGCTGTGGTAATCCCAGACACAATTTCTGCTTTTGTAGCATTATGAAATCTCAGATGGTATCAAATATAAAACCTTATGGTCAGGATCAGCCTTAGTGTTAGGACTTGGTTCTCTTTTTAATTTTTTTTTTTCTCCCAAGGGATTCAATCTCTTCATTTGGCAAAACCTGTTGTGTAGCATTTTGGCTTTGTTGGGTTCTTTTGATTTGAACATCAGTTATTTGACCACTTTATTTACCTGTTTGTTCTTTTGAACCCCTAAATACTGTTGAGATTCAAAAAGGGAATTTTGTTGTGTTTTGTTCTGCTGATGCTTCTCTGATGCTGGTGTGTGTTGTTTGTTTTGCTTTTAATTCTATTTCTTTTGTTTGCCTCAGGAAGTTATAAAGATTATGTCAGATATTCATGTCGAGCATCTTTTTTCCTGTTATGTGTCAGCAAGATGGATTGGTAGTTTCCATTCATTTCCTGGGTGCTAGATGATTACGTCAGAGCAATCTCCATGACATTTTGGGTTGGCAGTCTTGTAATTAGCCTTGCTAAAAAGCTAATAATAGAATTTAATGATACTTAACTGTGTTTCATCTTCCAGTCACCAGTCTTTTGGGCAGATGACATGGGATGTCAGGGCATGGAAAGCCACATTGTAGATGCCTGTGTTTCATTTTTTAAAAAAGCATTTTTATTTCATTTTATTAAACAAAAATTTAGCTTCTGGGAATCTCATTGATTTAACAGCATTAAGTCTAATAGTTAACTTTATTAAATGGGTGGATTTTTCAGGTTTTGCATAGAGTTGTGTTCTGATTTGCCTTGAGCAATCCTCTTGGACTTAGTGTTTACCCAGGATGGCACTTAGTTGTACAGAACAGGTACATTGCCTTTGCTTGTTCTTTTCATTGAAAGGAATGGTGAAAGTAAGATTTCTTCACCAAAACAACTTGTATGTTTTCAGTTGTAGTAGATTTCAGAGACTAGGTTCCCTTCCGTTTTGTTTATTTCTTGTCTATGACATTTTGGATGTACATATTCTGTGTAATTTTGTTTCTACAGATGAAATACAAATATTAATAATGTAACATAGCCCTGTTTTGGTCTGTAAAGACTACATGCAAATGTAGGCTAGTGAAGGAAATAGATCTCTGTGAATGCAATTTCACTTTTTTTTCCCACAATGAGTATTGTCCTTGAACACAGGATATTAAATAATAAAATTTATGAGGGTTTTTTAAAAAATCCTTTTTTTTTCTTGCTTGTTTGGTGTATGGGATTAATGCTCTTTCTGAGGTTATGAGGTAGAGCAGCAGAATCTTTACCTTGGTGTTAATAGCAACTGAGGTTTTCTTGAGTAATGGGACTTGTTTAATTGGAGCCATAGAGTGCTTCAAGTTAAGCCAGTTTATCTTAATGTGACTCAATTAATGGCTCCATTGGCTTGAGTTTGAGTGAAGTTGCTCAAAAATCATAAAAAAATAGTTTTTCTAATGATTTTCCTTTCTACCTGCCTGCTAGTAGAAAACTAAAGAAGTAAAGAACCAGTAGCAGGACCTGTCTTGATGAGCATCTCATCAGCAGTGGTTCTCTGGCTGCTGTGAGGCTGCCACGTGGCTGCTCATCCAGAACCCCTGTGCCACATCGGAGATGCTGCAGCAGCCCTGAGTGTCAGGCCATGGGCTTGAGCTGCGTGTCTGCTCGCAGGGCAGCCACAGGCATGTGCTGAGACCTGAATAACAGCCTGTGTCATCTGACAGGGAGGTACTGTGAGTCCTGGACATTTTCTGGTTAGTCTTTAAAATGCTGCTTCCTGCTCGTACATTCCTACAGCCCTGGTGCAGCATTGCTGCCAGGCTTTCATTCCTGAGCCAATCTGTTTCCTCAGCCCATCTGCCCCCATGCCATCCAGGGACAGCTGCAGCTGGCTGGCAAGGCACAGGTGCTCAGGAGTGTGATCTGAGAAGTGCAGTCCCAGGGCAGAAGCAGAGATTGCTTGCTCTGCTGGAGTGCTTGACTTTTTGATGGGGTTTTGGCTTTTTTGTTTGGGTGTTTTTGTGTGTGGGGATTTTTTTATTTACTTATTTTGTTTTGTTGGGTTTTGTTCATTTGGTTTGGTTTTTTGTTGTTGTTCAGGATTTTCTTTGGGTTTTATTTTTTTGGTTTTGTGGTGGCTTTTTAAAAATTTCTATCTTTTGAGTCAAGTGCTCTGATATGGGGAAGGGAAACTGACTGAAGGAAAGAAGTTTTGTGCTCTGTACTTGGGACTTACTGGGTTTGTGTATCTACAGTCTTTGGTCAAGTAATTACCATGTGTTTACCAAATATTTGGTCAGCCATGACTTGGTGGGCAGCTGGACTAGATGATTATTGTAGGTCTCTCCTAGCTGAACTATTCTATTCTAAATATCTGATAGGCTGTGTAGGATCTAGTATGGAGTCAAGTTGTGCTATTCACTTTGGCTGTAACAAATTTGTTGTCTGCTAAGATGTCTGTGCTTAAAACCCCTGCAGCTTCAGAGTTGCCTGGAGAAGCTGTGGCAGCTGGCAGGTTCCAGGCCAGGCCCATGGAAGGTGTTCCTGCCCATGGTGGGCTGGAACTAGATGAGCTTTAACATCCCCTCTGACCCAAGCCATTCTATGATTCACAGGTATTGCAGCAACTGTAGGAAACTTGTAGAGGAATCCAACAACCTTGCTCTAGGATGAGAAGAATTTTTTTTTTTTTGCTGGTTTCCTAGCTTTTATGTAGGTTCCATGAAATGAAGATACATTATTATAATGTTGGTTTTCTCTGGGTTATCTCTAGAGGGTGTAGGCACTGTTTCTTATCTCCCAAATACATTTTGAGTTCTTCTACTGGAGAATGTTGAGGGTTCAAACAGTTGCTTTTCTTTAGTCTGTTTTTCAAAAAGTGCTGAAAACAACTGCAGCTTAACATATAATAAAATATATTGTCCCTTCCAGTGTTAGACTTTTATGTGTGGAAGGTCTCCTAGATCATACTTTTAGGCACAGGTAATGACTTGAGTGAGTAGATGTGTTTGCATAAGGAAGATTAGGCATACAAGCAGTAATATCTTTTTAAAATGTGGATGAGGTAGAAATTGCAATCAGAAGAGTGGAAAAGCCCTAATTATGATATTCTGTGAGGGAAGACTGAGACTTGGGCAGAGGCAGTGCTCCTATCTTTCTAGTGTCCATAGCACTAATACCCCAAAATCTCTGGTATACTGAGGAATTCTCAACACATGGGGTTTTTTTTATTTTTGTTTTTTTTTATCTTAAAGTCAAATGTGAAGGTGACAGGAAATAGCTTCTTGATTTGAGTCTATTCAAATATGTAATAAGCATAGAACTGCTAGTTGAGGGCTCAGTGCTATTTAAGCCATTTCCCAGTGTGCCAGTTCTTGCTCAGTGGGCTGGTTGCTTTTTTAAACTTGTTATGACAGATGTAGCTTGGGAAATACACGTCAGTCTAATCCTTTAGCTTCCAGTAGAGATGTTTTCTAGATCGGTGAGGCTAGTGTCTCATGTTTTCAGAATCCATAGAGTGATCAGTTCTGCATTGTTTCTTTCTGGTAGATGTTAATAATTTTGACCTCTTTAAAATACTGTGAAGTGCACTCAAGGATTCTTTTAGTGATTCCACATACTAATATGGATTATTTAAAATGTCAACACTTTTTAAACAATAAGTGGTATAAAATGTGATGTATTAGACCTAAGATATATGCTTACTGCCATATAAAAGCTAGGAGGAGATAATGACACATTTTCATTAACATATTTAAACAGTTCAGTTATGCAAATGGTGTTTGCTTTTATTTCCAAGTAACAAATATGTGATTACAGTACTTATCCATAAAATATACACTTCTATTTGCTTAGGCAAATTCCTAGCATATTTGTATTTTCTCTGCAAACCAATTAAAGACTAATTTATTTTAGGATAATACGTCTAATGTCTTCACTGAAAAAAATATTTGCCATTGAGACATGAAATATTGGATTCTCTTTTTTTTTTTTTTTTTAAGTGGACTGGAG